GATTGATTTGGACAATATAAAATAGAGGTTTCAAATATTGTTATTAATTTTTTAAAACTGGTGATCCAATTCTTCAGATTTATGGACAATTACAGATAAGTTAATTTGATTTGTTCAAACTTGTGCCATTAGGGACCTTAATGACAAAGTTATTTCCTATGTGAACTAGTAACCCTCGTCCACTTTTTAGAGGTCATAGAGGCTTTGTTATGAAATTCAAACAAAAAACTCATTTTCGCTCTTTCTGAAAAGTAAGAAAAAAATTTAGTTTATTTACTCTTCCTTTTTTTTTTTCTTAAACATACAAAAAAAAAAATAGAGAGAGATAATTTATAATGGCCAAAAATTAGAGAGAAAATTTAAGTTGGTGGTTAAATCTATATAGTAAATTTTGGATAGTTATCCATGTGACTCTATCGGGCCATCCGTACCAATTATTTGGTCTTATGAAACACAGGCTTACCCATCAAAGTGCCAATTTTTTTTTTGTGTCCTTCTTAACTACGAAATTGCTATGGACTATTAATTAGAATATTTTAAGACTCTTTTCATGCATATATTATAACTAGTGTAATAATGACTTCTAATTATATAAATCAAAATAAAAATTATTAAAACATAATGTTCAGATTTTCCTTTTCAATGGTGGTGGACAGTCACAAAGCGGAAGTGGCGATAAGTCACTTCGTTCAATACCCATTTCAAAACTTTTTCTAATTTTCTTAAGTTTTGTGAGGAAATTTTAATTTCTACTATAATGCTATTATATGTATTACAAATTCAGCTCATTAAATTTTTTAAAATTTCTATGACAAGATTAAAAAATTAAATGTTAGTATTTTATGATGAAATGTCTTCAAATTATTCTAATATCAAAGTTAATATTTTTTATAAAAATTATTAATTTTATTGAATGTATATTAAAAATAATACATAATATAGCGGTTTGGTTTGATTTTTTTAATTATTTTTTGATTTTTTTGAAAAATATAAATAAATTTGACAAAAATAAATTGTTTGGTTTGATTTTCCAAATGGTTGTG